TTTTTACTTTTATCCTTTGCCACTACATTTTTATAGTTCTATAAATTTTATCTTTTTTGGGGGGTGGAATATCTTTTAAACCTATTACAGTATCCGTTCATGATAATGTCAACATCCTTGATAGGGATGAGACTCAAACATGCGATCACCTCTTTTGGAAATCAACAATGATGCAATTAGAGCACGAGATACTTGGCCTTTAATCGCTTGCTCCAATTTCGTTCCTAATAGCGAGTGCTTTACCCATATCAACTGTCTCACATGAGCCAATAACAATACATGCTTTAAAAATGATTTCTAATATCAACTATTTGAATTAAATATATAATAAAATAATATGGAGCCATTTTTTGACAAGAAATTCGGTCATTTAAAACATAAATAACTTATATGTAACCATCAAATAAATGGTATTTGTCATTTGGGCCACTTATTTAATACTTTGATATTAGTTTTTGATGAATTAAATGATTGAATTTTTAGTGAAGTTTATCTATATCACTTTTGTTAATATATCCAGATAGTTGTACTATTAAAAATTATATCCAAAGTATGTATTATTTGCTTGGTTCATTGAAGATAATTTGTATTATTCAAGTTATATGCAGAGGATTTATGCACCATATTAATATTTAATTTGTATATTAGTGAATCTTATATTTTTCTTGATCTTTATTTGCGGTACCTTTCATTCAATTCCTATCTCGTATATTAGATCGAATGTAAATCATCTATATAAAAATGTACTAGAAATTTGTCACGAAGTTAATGATATTGTATTACTTTTTTATAAAATTAAGAAAATAGGGTCTAGCCCTTATACGCATTTGCACTTTTTTATTTTATTTTTGAGTCCTCTTTCATGATGAAAGTATTAAGTACTCTATTTTTAAGTTGATACAAATGTTAATGTGTCAAATACTAAAAATAATCATATCAAATCAACATAAAATGTGCATATTTTCAAAAGAAAAATCATTGGGCATTTTATTCATTCGCGCATCGCGCGTGTAGAAAACTAGTATATATATATATATATATATATATGTATATTCTATAGTACTCTTAAGGTACCATACTTTTGTCCACATGGACTAATCAAAATGGTGCAGTTGAACTATGTAAATCTAAATAAAAATGATACTTCCTTCGTCACTTTTTATTTAGTCAAACACTATTTTTCAAGTCAAAGTTGTTCAACTTTAACCGATTATGTATTAATACACGATAATATTGATAATATGAAAATTATATGAAAATGTTCTATTGTTAAAAATACTATCATAAAAGTATAAATTTATTAACTTTTACATAAGCATATTAATTAAAATAATGAATCAAAGTTTATCATCTTTGACTGGAAAAGTCAAAGTTGGCTCAATAAAAAGGGACGGAGATATATAATTATTTGGATCAATGAAGTTATTGGTAGGTATGGTACCCCAAATTTCAAATGGGTACGAGAGTTGTCACCTGCTATAAATCGTTATCCTACTAAGCTAGTTTACTACGGTTGCTTAACTTCATACTCCACAATGAAAACGCGGCAAATAAAACTTGCAAAAATCCAAGGTGTTTAAAGAACGTGGACGCATAATTTTATTGATACGTGAACAATAATTAGTTTCAAAACCAGTGTATATAGTCACGAGGGTAGAAAGGGGCAAAATCTGGACTACGATAGTCAAATAGACTGAAAATCTAACATTATATTCTTATACGGAATACGGAGTATAATTTAAGTAATTCATTTTTATCAGTTAGAACATCTTCAATGCTAAAACGTTAACGGTGCATACGTGGCATGAGAGATAATCAATTAAAAAATACTACCTCCGTCCCCCTAAGTTTGGGACAAGAGAAGGTGACACGGTTATTAATAAAAGTGGGTTTATGTGGTTGATATTGAATTGATAAAGTAAGAATAAAGTAGGAATGATTTAGAACCGCACAAACTTTACCAAATAAAGTATGAGACAATCTTAGTGGGACGGACCGAAATGGTAAAATGAGACAATCATAGCGGGACGGAGGGAGTAATAAATAGAATATCGCACTCCTTATTTGAAGAATCTTACATCATTTTAGTAAGTTTTTCTTCACAATGTCAAGCACAATGTCTAGATGTAGACATTGTGGTTGACATTGCAGGAAAAAACTTACTAAAAACACATAAGACCGTGGAAAGAAAGAGATAAAAATGTCATACAATCAATTTTTTCAATCAATCTTTTGTGTGTATCTCTCTCATGCCACGTTGTAACATTGAAGATCTCTTATAATCAATTTCAGTTTTAAACTCATAAAATGCTTAGACTTCATGATGAAAAAACAAAATTTTAGAAAGTTAGAAGCAGAAATAGGACCTCGGAATCGGAACCGTAAAATTAGAGAACAGCCCAGATTGAATCCGGATACTAGGACGTGTCGTGCATTCAAACCAAAAGTAAGCAAGTGTTGGAACAAACTTATGGGGCATCCATATTTTAATGGGCAAATAACGGATTATTTGTTAAAATATACTCTATTCGTCCCGCTAAAATTGTCTCATTCCATTTTGGGAAATTCCACTAAGATTGTCCCATACCAAATTTGATAAGGTTTGTGTGACTCAAATTCATTCTTACTTTATTCTCACTTTATCAATTCATTATCAACAACTCTCCTTTGTCCCAAACTTAGGGGATGGAGGTAGTAGACTAGTATTTTCAAACTAATTGTTCAAAATATAATATTTGCATGTGCCCCATTGGCCCATTGCACTTGAGCAATGTTCGGCCAGATTTCATCGAGTTGTTTGCCTTGTTATGAGTCATCTTGTGAGATCATGTTCACTTAGGGGTGTTTGGAACTGATTCTGCTTCTTTTTTAAAGCAGAAGCAGAATCAGAATCAGTTTTCAGAAGCTGGAACCCCCTAGTTTTTAAAAAAACTGATTCTGAGAGTAAATTAGAGCACCAGAAGTGCTTTTGGAATTTCACCCAAACACTACAGCTTCTGCTTCTGCTCTTTGAATGAGCAGAATCAGTTTTGAGAATCAGATCCAAACACCCCCTTATACGAAATACTATATTATGAATTGGAAATTTTAAAATGGAATTGCTATATTTTTCTTTTTGAAGTATGAATAATATGACAATTGTCATTTTGGAGTCATTGTTGTCAAAATTATTGCAGTACTAGTCATTAACATGACATTATTCATTGCTATTAGTAACATTGTTTTTCAATCATAACAGTAACGACTCCTATTTCGAAAATCAAAACGTGAGTCTTATTTTATGATTCCAGAACGTTTTTACAGATTTTTTTTTTTAATTTTAATATAAGAATTTTCTCTTAACAAATACTTAGCTTAACATTTACTCCGTAATATAAAAGTTGTTTATGACGAATAATACGGAGTAATATATTAAACTATTATTGATAAATATTTCCAAAATAGAAAAAAATGAGATACGGAGTAATGTCAAATGAAGTGGAATGATTATGAGCTATTTTGAGTATTTTCCCATGGGTGCATCCTGAAGTTCTCGTATTCGGATGTTCCAAGCTAGGGCTAGCTTGATTTGTTTGATTTTCACATCTTCCTTGCGAGTAATCTCGATCTAGTACGTACCAAACAGTTTAGGTGAACTACTAACTCAAAAATTCAGTGGGAATCAAGGCACATTGAAGAGTGTTCATAGCCTTGACATTTAACAAGATTTGCTCGTTGTCATTAAATTTCAATTCACTTCACTCATTTGCAACTTTTTTATTACCTACACACTTACTTAGAAGAAATGGACCATTAAGTGTAAATTGTGTAATATGAGGGCCGGGCGTCTCACATCATATTTGCTCGTTGTAATACGCTTTTTCTTAATTTCATACTCCGTATTAAGCTTGTCTCAAATCATTGCTTATACTCCGTACTACTTTCGTTCTTAAATGGATGCAACAGTTTAACGTTTGTCAATGCACAACTTTATCATTACTGTATTTAATTCTCTTTTAATAAAAAAAAATAAAAAATTCAGATTTTGAGAATTTAGGATGAAACAAATTTAACACCGTATTTTAAAAATTAAATTATTAATACATTAATAAATAAAATGTAATCAAAGTAGAACTTGAGAATAATGCAAAATTCCACATGTTGCATTTATTTAATGAACGAAGATAGTAATATTTATGTAGATTAAAGTCATATATATACATGCGTTTGTGTGCGCGTGCGCGCCCTACATGAGGGCATCATACCCTTTCTTTAGAGTATTTTAAGGATGCTTTTAATTGATTGAAACTTTTTTGTCTGATCTGGTCTGTTTAAATCTATGCTTTGAATTGATTTGGTCTGGTCAGGTAGACGTCTGTTCTATGTATATTTTACATTTATCATTAAATCATGAACTATTCTTATTTGTTTAAGCCTACGTCGGATTTGAGACTCAAATCAATATAATTAAAAACATCCTAATTTTCTAACTACTATCAATTGCCAAAAAAAAACTATCGAAAAAATAAGATTATACTCCCTCCGTCCCAGGGAGAAGTTCTCGGGTTGACTTTCACACATATCAAGGAAATAAAGTTACTGAGGGGTAAATTTTATTGTTTGGCACTGTTTCGACACTGTTTGGCACTGTTTCGACACTGTTTGGCACTGTTTTGCACTGTTTGGCACTGTTTTGATGTAGGATAACTTTCCATTTAGAGAAATGGGAACTTTTTGTTGGGACTGCCAAAAAATGAAAGTGAGAACTTGTCTCTGGGACGGAGGTAGTAATAAATTTGGTTAATTTATTAAAGATAGAGTCATGACTCATGGCCGTCAATTAATTATTTAATCTGTTAGACCATGTATGAAATCGTTATCCTTGCCAAACTTTAATTAATTTGAGAATTTTTCAACATGAATGACTTCGAAGCAAGGCTTAACATGGGGGCCCCACCACACCTTCATCCCTTGTTTGTTTACCTATAAAAACGGCAGCTGCGGGGCACTAAGGTTTCCAAGTTTCAAGTCAAACCCCCATTCATAACTAACTCTCTGCTACGGCTCCTCTCTCCCCCTTTAAAGGAATAAAGGGAATAACCAAAAGACAGCAAAAACGGCTCCTTTCCCTGTTCCTCTCTTTCTCTCAGGGAAGGCAGATAAAAGAAGCATAGAATACTTAAAGTGAGATAATAATAAAAAAATACCCAGAGTAGAAACTGAAAAAAGGTGAAGACTTGATAGGGAAAAACATGGGATTGAATCCAGGAATGTGGAAAGTTTTTGTGGTGTGGGTAGTGGTGATATTGGGTACTTGGGTTTCTGTTGGAACTGCTTCTGTGTCTTATGATAAGAACTCTTTCATCATCAATGGCCAAAGAAAGATTCTTATTTCTGGATCAATTCACTACCCAAGAAGTACCCCTGAGGTTTCTTTCTGCCAAATATACCCCCAAGTCCAATGCATTCTTTGTATTGATTTGCGCAGGTTTTGTCTGTTCCTGTATTTTTCTATGATTTGAAAGGTTTAATGTTTCTTGGTACAGATGTGGCCAGATCTTTTTCAGAAAGCAAAAGAAGGAGGATTGGATGTAATCCAAACATATGTTTTCTGGAATGGACATGAACCTAAACAAGGCCAAGTATGCAAAACATATTAACAGTAGTCCATATAATAGTGTTTCACAATCTTCTCTGTATATTCTCCCAATGTTTGCATTTTAAGTATGGGTGAAATTTGCAGTATTATTTTGAGGGGAGGTATGATTTAGTGAAGTTCATAAAGTTGGCACAGCAAGCTGGACTATATGTTCATCTCAGGATTGGACCTTATGCTTGTGCTGAATGGAACTTTGGGTAATTTTGTTTTCATAAAAACTGCACCTACATGAGTCCCTTTTTAGTTTTTACAATAGTTTGTTTGAACATTTTCATGGTTGATTTTCAGCGGTTTTCCCGTTTGGCTAAAGTATGTTCCAGGTATCAGTTTCAGGACAGATAATGGACCTTTCAAGGTAAGAGAATGCATTCTCTACTTCAAAGTTTCTTATCTACTTTTGTTATTTATTTACGGAGTATATATTTATTTATTAACTTCTTTTTCTGAATCTTCTTTCTCAAATTCCCTGGTAAAAAAGGCTGCAATGCAGAAGTTCACCACAATGATTGTTAACATGATGAAAACCCAAAGGCTGTATGAATCTCAAGGTGGTCCAATCATCTTATCTCAGGCAAGGCAATTTAAAGGATGCTTGCAATAGTTCTAACATTAGGAGTCGATTAAGAGTCCATTTCGTAATACTCAAATCGACTGTATTGGTTGAATCTGCTGAAATTTATAAAGTTCTAGTTAAAAACTTGAAGTAGCTGAATTGACGGATTGTATTGATTTATGAAAAAGTTATATTTAAAATAAAGAAAAAATTATATGAAAATAGCTAAAATGATCATCTACAATAATATTTCAGCCAATACAACAAAAAAAGTAACTTCAACCTTCATTTTTCTTATTATTATCCAATTTTGTGTGCGAAATTAAAAGTTATGTGTTTGAGAAAAAATTGATTGATAGACATGATAAGCCAAAAAGTTGTTTGCTTACGACTCGACTCAATTGAAAATAAGAATTATTTATTCCGTAAAAGTTGGTTCACATTTCATAAGACCACTGTTTGACAATTTTAATTCTATTCGACTATTTTTATAATTCAATATGGAAAAGACCGTATGATAAATGGCTGGTAATTGATAGGATAATTCTTCACATGAAATAAATAATTTATGACACAAGATCCATATATATCTTATAATCTTTCCTACACTAGACTACACGCATTGCGGTTGCTCTAAGAGTCAAAGACAATGACATGAAATAGCTTTAGGGAGTGTTTGCAACAGCTTAAAAAAAACACTTCTCAGCTTTTGACTTAAAAAACATTTATTTACCAAACACTATCAATTTTTACTTTTTCTCGGCTTGCATGTAAAAAAGTGTTTTTCTCTTTTCTATTACACAAAAAACACTTATTTTACCAAACATTACCAACTTTTACTTTTTCAAAATCACTTTTTTCTCAAACACTATCAACTTTTACTACTAATCACTTTTTCCAAATTACTCCAAAAGTGTTTCTTTAAATAGGAGCAGTTACAAACACTCCCTTAGGATCTCTTTTGACCGGAATGATCAAACTCTAAGATGAATTACAACTTGAATAGAATAATTTTAGCTTTGGGCCTTGTATAATCACGTCAAAAAGAAGTATAGGAAGGGGAGACAGGTAAATGGAACCTCTAGGAGTCTAGGTGGGGAATAACCAATCCATTCACTTTTCGCCCCCAAGAGAGGAGTAAAACAAGGTGGTGGGATCAATAATAAAAAATGTGATATTGCTATTTTTTTTAAAGTGTGATAAACAACTTTTTGTGATATTTCATACGACATCAATATTGCATATATGAATTTAAAAAAATTCAAAAAACTAACTCTTTGGGGGTTTTAGTCTTTTTTTATCATCTGGGGTTTTAGTCTTTTAGACTCAATGTTTTTAGATAAATCCAAATGCTAAAAATAAGATCCCATAGTTACAAAATTATTTTTCACATCTTTTGTTATTTTTTTCAACAATAGTGCAAGTTTTTAAATCATATTTATTCAAAAAAATATAGGTAAAAATGATTCACAATAATAAAAGTAACGATTTCATTAAAATAACTATGATAGAACAGTACTGAATTGTAAAAAACTGAATTGACGGAGTGAATATACAATTTTCATGTAAGCTGATTGAATATTTGAAAAGACAACAATTCGTAAAATCAATTCAATGGGTCAAATGCATAAATGGTATCTGAACTATTGATACTAGCATTTTGGTACTTTAACTCTTAAAAGAATCAAAACAGTACCATAATTATACATAAATGTTTCAATTTGAGAATTTATTCAAATTTGCGGTAAAAAAATTACACGTGGTGGTCGATATATTATGCGCAAAGTCCACTTCACCTTATTGTTATCCATATACACACTATAGGGTGACTCGGACACATGAAATTTTGATTGCCATGAATGCGGTTTTAGCCATAAATTTGAATAAAATCTCAATTTAAAATATTTATGTATGTATATGATTTTTTTTGTATGTATATGGTACTGATTTGATTTATTTAAGAGTAAAGGTACCGAATCGCAACAATATTGATAGTTAAGGTACCATTAAGGGTTGGTTTGCAAATGGTTTAAAAAAGCACTTCTCAGTTTTTGGCTTAAAAAGTATTTATTTTACCAAACACTACCAACTTTTATTTTTCTCGGATTTCGTGTCAAAAGTGCTTATATTTTTTCTATTACACAAAAAACACTTATTTCACCAAACACTATCAACTTTTACTTTTCAAAATCCCTTTTTTTCTCAAATACTATCAACTTTAATTTAATCATTGCTCCCCATTTCATTAAAAAAGGCACTTTTGTTAAAGCAGAAGCCGTTGCAAACACGGATACATTTGACCGGTTTTTCCCAATTTCAATCAAATAAATAAATAGTGTGACTCCGCTCAAAGGCAAAGTTGGCCATACCATACGGGGCCTTGGATTTTGTCCTCGTTCATTTTATTATAAGATTCCAAACTAACTACAGCAATGTTGCTAATAACAGATTGAGAATGAATATGGTCCAATGGAGTATGAACTGGGTGCTCCAGCAAAAGCTTATGCACAGTGGGCTGCTCAAATGGCCGTCGGCCTCAACACAGGCGTCCCATGGGTCATGTGTAAGCAAGATGATGCCCCTGATCCAGTTGTAAGTGTTTCCTTCACTATTTTATCTTTTACCTTTGATGCTGTTCTTTTGAATGGAAATTATCTATATTGAAATTAATAAATTGAAGATCATTACGATATATTTAAAGTAGTACCAACCTCATTTAGAAGCCCAACATTTAGACTTAGATGCTCTGACCAGGGCCGATCCTAAGATTTTTTTGGTCTGAGTCGAACGGTATAAGAAGGCATAAAAAAAATATGGGTATTAATAAATACTCCCTCCGTTCCTAAAAATTCTTCCCAGTTTGACTTGACACACCTATTAAGAAAGTGGAATAAAGTGGAAACGTGTGGTTGTGGGTGTGTAAGAAAAATGTAAAATGAATGTGAGCCACACAAATTGTCCAAAAAGGGAAAGTGGGAAGAATTTTTGGGAACGACCCAAAAAGGAAAGTGGGAAGTATTTTTGGGAACGGAGGGAGTATAACTAGAAGAATCATAAGCAAAAATTAATTGATTATTATTAAACAAAAACGTATGAGTTAAATAAATGTTCGGATGATGATGACTTGATGATGAATGTTGAATCGTATGGTCTCAAAACAAATAAATAGCACTTTCCCTAAACTCTGGTCTTCAATTAGCAAAGACGATTTCAGAATTTAGAACACAAAATTGACATTTAAAAACACAACAATTACATTAAATAACAATTATACATATCTGGGATGCTATGGAGTTCTGGGCTGAACTTCTATGTTTCTAGCCTTCAAAGATTGATGTTGGAAGCTTGGACTTCAAACCTGGGAACTCGGAAGTTGCAAACGAGAGAGCAGAGCTGCAGATGCAAGGTCGGTGATCAGTCGAGAGCTTCTAATCAAAGGAAATTCAAATTGGGCCTATTATGTTATGGGTATATATATAAGGGGAGTTAATAAATTTCTGGGCCCTATTTTTTCCCCAAAATTATGGGCCTGAGGCGGTTGCCTCTTTGCCTCTACTATAGGTTCGGCCCTGGCTCTCACTCGCAAATGACCCGCAAAAGTCACTAACCAAGTAATGGACAAACGAAAACTTAATTTTATCTCAATGCCTCTAACCAGATGAAAACCCTGCAATTTAGGCCATTTGATTAGTTTAGGTCAATTAGTTAGTTTAAACATAAAATAAAATAGTGACATGGAACACAATAATATAAGGTATGCTGGAATGGTACTCCTCTCACTTATGGTCTTATGGACTATAGTAGCTACTATTCACCTCTAATGTAATGAAAGCATTTTCTAAGCAGGACTAAAACTATAATAAAGTTCATAAATAAATAGGACTATGATGTTTTGTTTTAAAATGATCACCCATTCACTCTTATTTTGAAAAGTTGTAATCAACCTATTCTTTTATTAGGATTAAATAAGTTTTGATGGAGCTACTTTCAAAGAGAAGGATGTGCTTGCTAGGATCAAATACATTGTGTACAAGATCCTATATAGTTTATATCCCTACCATATGATTAGTTTTTGATTGACTTATTGGCAGCCCGTCACCTATTTTGTGCTTGGTTATTGAGCTTATGCCTTTGTTTTTGAGGTGATGGGATATTCTAGCTTATGATGCCCTTATTTTTTATCCCCTTATTTTGATGTACAGTTAACTCTTTGGATGATCTTTATTTATATACTTACATTTCATCCAAAAAAAAGTCTTATTCGGGGGAAGAAATAGATTTGGTCCTACATCAGAACTTTGTATAAAATTTGATTCACCCTAACACCTTGGTATGCGTATTCTTTTTTCTCCCAGATTAACGCATGCAATGGTTTTTATTGTGACTGGTTTTCACCAAATAAGGCTTATAAACCAAAGATGTGGACTGAAGCCTGGACTGGCTGGTAACTTGCTTTCTCATTTCTTTTATAAAATGGATTGTTGATTATCCCTGTTTAGTAGCATTAAATCCATTAATCATTTTGTTCTTTTTATCAGTATATAAGTAAGGAGTGTTGCTTTGCTTTTACTTTTGATAAATGATTTATTTAGAGATTATATCATTATGAAAACGGATTAATAGTAAAAGCTGGTTGCATTTGAAAACAAAAATGATTTAAAAAATAAAAGTTGCAGGGTGTAATAGAAAAATTTAAAAGCAGCACCCTTAGCTATCAGATAGAGCTTTACATTGCTTAACTGTAAGTAGAATCACCAAGCCAACAATTTGAAAACATCGCTTTTAACTTCGTTTTAAGCAAAAAATGTAAAAACATCTTTTAAACTATTGCAACACTCCTTGGATATGCAAAGTAGTATTTATTATACTAGTTTGGCTGAAATCAGTTACCAAAAGCTCTTCGTTTCAAAGTATTCTACAGATTCAGCTATTTTAGCAAAATAACCCTTGCCAAGCAGAGTCTTAGTCATTTTCCTGAGTAAATATATGTATTGCAGGTTTACTGGATTTGGAGGTGCAGTACCTTACCGTCCTGCTGAGGACATGTCTTATGCCGTAGCAAAGTTCATAATGACTGAGGGCTCATTTATCAATTATTACATGGTCCGTTTTAATATATATTTTATAATAAAAATTGAAAATTATCTGGTGGATCCATACCTAATTTTCACTGCTTTAATCTTCTAATTATTGTTGAATTTCTTTTATACCAGTATCACGGGGGAACAAACTTTGGTAGGACTGCTGGAGGTCCTTTTATTGCAACAAGTTATGACTATGATGCTCCTCTTGATGAATATGGTAAGAACATACTGTTATGTATGATTTAAGAAAAGGAAGCCTAAGTTCATCAGACTCGTGCTTTTAAAGCATTTTATTTATTTATTCTGATATCTGGGCTATAACTTTCATAGAAATTATTGGGAAAATGAGTTACCATTATAAACTTATTGCATCATTTGGTTAGTTGATATATCAAAAGGGGTGTTCCCGATAATATTTCTAAAATAAAAGGAATAGACATATGACTACATGATCACTACAGTCATTATGAAAACTTATTTATGGTCACTAGACTCGCTAAGAAGTAAATTGAACATCACCATGGCCACTATGAGTTAAAAGCCACATTTTGTCCATTCTTATTATAGTCATTTATTTGTCACCATTTCATCTCAAACAGGATTAGTACGGGAACCTAAATGGGGTCATTTGAAAGATCTGCATAGAGCAATAAAGCTGTGTGAACCAGCATTAGTCTCTGGAAATCCAAATATAATATCACTAGGCAAATATCAAGAGGTTTGATTAATCAATTTCTTCTCGGATCATCTTATCTTATATCATTAGAAATTCAAGTAATTAAATATATCGTACATATTTTATTGCGATGTTCAAGGCACGTGTATTCAAGTCAAAGTCTGGAGCCTGTGCTGCCTTCCTTGCAAATCATGACCAAAACTCTTTTGCTAAAGTGGCTTTTGGAAACATGCATTACGACTTGCCACCTTGGTCCATCAGCATACTTCCTGACTGCAAGAATACTATTTATAATACTGCAAGGGTGAGCCATAACAAAAGAAAAAGCAATCTTTTGTAGTACATATATTATGAAGAATTATTAATGACAGCAAGTGTATTTCACATGAAGGTTGGTGCACAAAGCACACAAATGAAAATGACTCCTGTCAGCCATGGATTCTCTTGGCAATCATATAATGAAGAGACATCATCTTATGATAATAATGAATTTACAGCTAATAGGCTGTTAGAGCAGATAAATACCACATGGGATTCTACTGATTATTTGTGGTATATGACAGAGTAAGTTCTTTCGAATTGATTTGAATAGCCTTGTTACATTTAAAATGTGTTTCAGGACTTCAACTTCACCTTTAACTTTGCATTAGTATGATATTTTCCTTGAATTTTTTTTCCGCTTTAGACCAATTCTGCAAGGATTTTTTAAGAGCATCCCTGGAAGACTTCATATAGGAGTTAAATGCACACTTATGTTGAAATACATATTTCCTTGAATTCTTAATATGGGACTCTAGTTGTGTTGAGCAGTTTGTCCCGCTTTGGCTGGATATGAAATAATAAACAAACTTATAAGATCTTGAGTTATATCTTTTAGGTCGACCTTGGGAAAAGGGGCAAATAAGCCCTCGAACTCACTAAAAAAGTGCAAATCACCCCTTATATAGGAAGCTCTGTCTGGCCGTCATCATTTGGGGAGGTTCCCGGTAGAAATTTTTGAACATCTTCTTCATTAAGTCTAGTTTACACATACCAAATTTCCGATAAAAATTCAATCAGGAAGTCAGTCAAATGAATTTTTGAAGATAACTGCGCAGTTAAATAGCACAGTATATTTTCAGAATTTTTTTTGAGCATCTTCTTCATTAAGGTAAAACTTCAAACTTAATACGTAGTATCACTATTTCACACTTCCCACATCGACTAAATATGAAGTAGCAAATGAACATATATGATATTAGACTATTCTTCTATTAGGTCGTCTTAAATCTTAATAAGTTTACACTGACAATTTGGAAATTTGAAAAAGAAAATTAAACCAACTTAATCAACTAACTCTAGTTTCATTTTTATGCCATAAATTCCTAATATCAGTGTGAGCATTGATCCAAGTGAAGCGTTTCTGAAAGGAGGAAAGTGGCCTTGGCTCAATGTATATTCAGCTGGCCATGCGTTGCATGTCTTCATAAATGGTCAATTAGTTGGTACGCACTTTAGTTTGATTCGTTCTCTGAATTTAAGGGGGAAAGTCTAACCTCTTCTTCTCTTTTGTGCGGTAGTGATAGGTCCATAATGACATGTATTAACATCAATGTCGCAGGAACTTCCTATGGAAATTTAGAAAATCCCAAAATAGCGTTCAGTAAAGCCGTAAATCTGAGAGCTGGAGTCAATAAAATCTCACTTCTAAGCATTGCTGTTGGTCTTCCGGTTTGTTCTCTCCCGTGATTCATAATATCTTTCAATTGTTATGTTTTATGCATTGTTAAGTCATACCACATTGATAAAATATAAGAATAGAAACCGAACTCTAAAGCTTCCCTTGGTAGAATAAAACTTAAAAATCTTAATTTGAATTTCACTATGAGCTCATTTCATGATATAAGTTTTATTACTCACACAGAATGTTGGTCCTCATTTTGAGACATGGAACGCTGGTGTACTTGGCCCTGTTTCACTTAGCGGTCTTAATGAGGGAAAGAGAGATTTGACCTGGCAAAAATGGTCTTACAAGGTTTGTTGCCAGATACTTAAATGCATTTTTATTTAATTTGTTAAAAATAATTGTTCTTCCCTATTTATATACGTAATTCGGGACATTCTTCTGTCAGATTGGTCTTGAAGGAGAAGCGCTGAAACTTCATTCAGTTACGGGTAGCTCTTCGGTTGAGTGGGCTGCGGGTTCTTTAGTGGCTGAAAAACAGCCTCTAACGTGGTATAAGGTGTGCCCTCATTTACTCTTTTTTGTTCTATTAATTTTGTTCTCTTAACTTGTATCACTGATGAGCGTGTTATATGTTTTTAGTCAACATTCGATGCTCCAACAGGAAATGAGCCTTTGGCTTTGGATATGAATACCATGGGTAAGGGACAGGTATGGATAAATGGTGAAAGCATTGGACGCTATTGGCCAGCATACAAAGCATCTGGTGCATGTGGCTCCTGTAGCTATACCGGTTGGTTTACTGAGAAAAAATGTTTAAGGGGATGTGGAGGGCCTTCACAAAGATGGTAAGATAATGTTCTATGTTCTACCGAAAACAATGCCTTTTTTCTTCATTTACGCTCTGCTTTGCACCGGGAAATATTTTCCTCAATTCTTTAAACTTTTGTGGAAAAAGTATACCCCTTTTGAGAACTGAAAGCTATTTTCATGAAAAGTTCCATTTTTGTGTGACACAAACATAATATTATACCTAGAATAGCTTATTTTACCGTAAACCTTTTTTCCTAGAACTTTTTCCCACAAGTTATTTTTTTAGAAACAAATAAAGCCTTTGTGGAGTGGCTAGATAAATAATATAGAAGTATTTCAGGTATCATGTTCCTCGTTCCTGGCTCCGTCCAACGGGAAATCTGATAGTTGTGGTTGAAGAATTGGGAGGGGATCCTTACGGAGTCTCTTTGGTGAAAAGAGAGGTGGAGAGTGTCTGTGCGGATATATTTGAAGGGCAACCACAGTTGATGAATTGGGAGATGGAAACATCAGGCAAAGTTAGCAACCAGCTTAGGCCTAACGCTCATCTCTCATGTGGACCTGGTCAGAAGATTACCTCCATCAAATTTGCTAGCTATGGTACACCACAAGGAAGCTGTGGAAGCTTCCAGGAAGGAAGCTGCCATGCTTTCCATTCATATGATATTTTTGAAAAGGTATTCAGAATCTCTTTTCTTTACCACCTTTTACCCTCCAGTCACATTCATTGTAAACATGCCTATTTAATTCATCAATGCAGTATTTCACATAATCTCAGTAGACTTATCCCCATCTGTTAAATATAGCTATTGGAACACCTTATAAGGGATTGGCAGTCAATCAGTCATTACATCATGGAAGTTCTTAACAAATTCTTAACATTGAAAATTAAAGAAATTATTATTTGTTGATAAGACATTGGGTTGAGTTAGCTAACAAATTAGATCAGATCTGTTATTGTGGTTTCGTCCAAATAACTTATGACTTAGTCGAGTGACCACAACCCAAGCCGAGTTCCATAAGAGTCCCCTTGAGATAAGCACATATTGGTTGTTGGATTAATATGAATTAACATTTTGTGTTGCAGTATTGCATCGGGTGGAACACCTGCACAGTACCTGTAACTCTAGAGTCCTTTGGATCAGGAGATCCGTGTCCTAATGTCATGAAGAAACTTTCAGTGGAAGTCGTTTGCAGTTGACGATTTTGGAACTATTGATTTAGTTCCTTGCTCCAACATACGTAAATTTGCTTTGAGGTATTTTCAAGAGGCCAGGCTGCAATCTCAATAATTAGTTACTGCATACAATAGTCTTTTGGCATAGATACAGCTGTACAGAACTACAGATATACAAGACAAGCTTTGGGGAAAACAACATAAACTTCAGATGATGGATTTGGCGATATATGTAGATAATACATTAGGAATGCCATTTGCCGCACAAAATTTCAAATAATTTGCTTCATTGGCACATGGAGATGAAGATTAATTTGAATCCATGTGCTCATTTGTTTAGTCTATACTTGTTTCATCATCAAATGTATAAGAAGCAATAATTTCAGTGCTACTGCCATTGTAAGCTGTAAAAATGCTTGAAATGTTGTAATAATAATGTCAAATATTTTTCTCATTTGAAATGTTGTCTCAGTTTTAGATGGCTTCAGAATAATTTCAGTCCTCAATTTATAAAGTCACTGGTGAATATTGTGAACTCTCACTCCAGTGAGAGCATTTATCTATTGTATATGATCTCAGATGGATCCAACATGGTGGACGCTAGTTAATAGTCCACATTTCATCTCATTATATACTTCTTCAGTTGCCTAGTTCTTGCAAATGCAGCCAAGAATTTACCATCGTCTGTTGGGTGTAAGTGTGTAACCATCATTTGCATTATTAGGAGCTATTCCAAAAATTTGGTAAATTCTTCTTTTAGTATATGTAAGTATATAAGTATGTAACTAACTTTGTCTTTAAACATTTATTATAACAAATTATAATGTTTATGACTTTGTTGTTTATATGTGACAAATATACACTTTAACTTTCTCTTGGAATGATAAAAAAAACTGTAAAGTAGTAACATGCAAACTCTTGAACTATACACTGATAGTGTAATAATACTTTAATTAGGTTACTAATTAGGTTTCCATATTTATTTGTTTCCTAATGTACTCAGAACTCTCTTATTATATACTTCAATAATATTTGCCACTCTCTCCCGCGAAGTGTTGATGGAAGTTCATACTCTTAAGAATTCCACCACAATTTGGCAAAAGCTGGAATCTCGCTTCATGGCGGCTAGTCTTGCTCGCTCTATGGAATTGAAACATATGCTGACACATACTCGGAAGAAGGCTAATCAATCCATGGAAGACTATGTCTGTGGAATTTGGACAATTGCGGATAACTTGAACTCTATTAATTCCCCGGTGTCTGATGCGGATCTCTTACAACACACACTTTGGCTTGGGACTGAGGTATGAATCATTGGTAGGGCCGCTTACTCTCTTCCCCGAAGGCTTAACGTTTGATAAATTATGCACCAAGTTGGTTCATCAAGAGGCACGCATGCAATATCAACAATCCTTGAGAGCTCGCTTGGTGCGCCTGCCTTCTCGGCCAACACCTCGGCAAGGGGTGTTTCGGTCGTGGCTAATGCAGCTGGACAACAACAACCATACCGGGGAGGAGGGCGTGGCGGACGTCGTGGCAATAGAGTACGGGGCCGTGGCCGTGGACGACACCAGCAACAAACGACGTACGGCCAGCCGCCACCTTCAACGTACGGGCAGCCGCCGCCGGTGTACGGCCAGCCTCCTTCATACTACGGCCAGCGTCCCCCGTATCCGCAGCATTCGTCATCAAGCCGAGGGAAACATGGCAACTCTTCTTCGGGACAACCGGGTACAGTGTTTTGTAATACTGTCGAGTCATCGTTTTATACTCAAGCACTATCTACTTTTTGTACTAACGATGTTTCTGCAGGCTTTCCGTCTTTTGAGAATAGTTTTGGTTCCGTTCCTCCACCTGTTGTCTGCCAAATCTGTCATTCTCCAGGTCATTCTGCCGTGTCATGTCCTTCGCGTTTTGCTCAAGCTCCCACTCCTACTTTGGCTGTCCCTACTGGTGAATCCACTCCGGCTGTTTGGTATCTTGACTCCGGCGCTTCCGCTCACATGACCGCAAATGAAGGTATTTTAGTCAATAAATCTAATTATTCTGGACCACTTTCCATAACGGTTGCAAATGGTTCTACCTTACCTGTTATGACTATTGGTGACTTGCATATGTCCACTCTGCCTCGATCTCTTCATTTAAAATCTGTTTATCACGTACCTCATCTTAAATACAATTTATTATCCATTCAAAAATTATGTGCCGATAATATATAACTGTTTTGTGATTAATGATAAAAACTCTGTTTGTGTTAAGGACAAAATCTCGGGGAAGGTGCTACTTCAAGCTTCCAGTAATGGTGGTGTATCCAATTTCTCTTAGTCCTTGTTCACCTGTTGCCCTTATCTCACACGTTGCACCTGGACCTATCTGGCATCGTCGGTTGGGACATTGTGGCAGTTGTATTTTAGATAGGCTTCGAAAGTCTGGAACTATTCTTAGTACTTCAAAATTTTCTCATGATTGTATTTCTTGTCGCTTAGGAAAATCACGACGATTACCTTCTCAAGAAGTGTGGCATAAATCTACTACTCCTTTATATTTAATTCATTCAGATGTTTGGCAATCTCATGTTCTTTCTTCCAGTGGCTTTAAATATTACGGAGTATGTTTTATTTATTGATGATTTTTCTCGTTTTACATGGCTTTATCCTATGCGCCGTAAAAGTGAAGTTGTGAGTCATTTTAAAAAAATTTAATTAATGGTGGAAAATTTATTTAACTCCAAAATTAAAAATTTTCAAAGTGATGGAGGGGGTGAGTTTGATAATCATGGTATGCGTGAAATTTTTCTTAGCAATGGCATTTTATTTAGGAAGTCTTGTCCTGACACTCATGTACAAAATGGTATTGCTGAACGTAAACATAGGCATTTACTTGAACTAACTCGCATTATGCTCCTTGAGGCTAAAATGCCAGCTAGTTTTTGGGTAGATGCCGTATTTACTGCTACCTATATTATTAATTGTCTTCCCACTCCTAATTTAAATGGTGCTTCACCCTTTGAAAAATTATTTCACCACTCACCTGACTTCTCTTTTATGCGCGTATTTGGTTGTGCCTGCTTTCCAAATTTCATTGCCACCCTCTTCCAATAAATTATCTCTGCGGTCCATCTTGTGTGTCTTTTTGGGATATGCCCCTAAATATAAATGTTATCGTTGTTTTGATCCTATTAGCGGCAAGATTTACATCAATAGGAATGTTCGTTTTTATGAGAATATTTTTCCATATTCGGACTTGGTTTCCTCTTCCAAACATATTGCTTTGCCACAATTGCCTCCGACTAGTACTGTCCCGTTACATGAGAGCACTTTAGCTGGTTCTCAGTCACCACAATCAATTTTCATACCAGCCTCTCCCAGCAATAACTCTTCCTCCTACCTTCGGCAACCGTACCCAGCAGCTACTAGCCCGGCCGACCAACCCCATGACCACCACCTTGGCAGTCCCTCTCCCAGCCGATCTCTGTCCTCCGACCATTCCGCCTCCACTGCCCGCTCCCCGTCCGGCTCACCACCACCAACACCACACTCTCCATTTTCTTCAGCTACAACTAACCGGACCGATCCTTCACCCACACCACTAGCCTCTTCACACACATCATCAGCCTCTTCATCGCCTGCACCTTCCCCGGTGAATTGTCATCCAATGCAAACTAGAGCTAAATCTGAAATTTTTAAACCAAAAACTATTTTAATCTCAAAACAGATATTTTGGCATGTGATCCTACTTGTTTTTCTACAACTAATAAGGATGTTAAATGGAGAGAGGCTATGGCAGAGGAGTTTAATGCACTCATTGATAATCATACTTGGGATTTAGTACCATTTAATCCTCGTAAAAATGTGGTCGGGTCTAAATGGATTTATAGGACTAAATTTAATTCAGATGGGTCTGTTGAGAGGTATAAGGCACGTCTGGTGGCTCAAGGTTTTACTCAACAAGCTGGTGTGGATTTTTCTGAGACCTTTAGTCCCGTTGTTAAGCCCACTACTGTTCGTATTGTTTTATCTCTTGCCGTTTCGTTTAATTGGGCTATTTGTCAGTTAGATGTTAAAAATGCATTTTTACATGGTAATCTGACTGAAGAAGTATATATGCGTCAGCCTCCTGGTTTCATTCATCTACAATTTCCTAATCATGTGTGTCGTCTCCGTAAAGCTATTTATGGCCTAAAACAGGCTCCTCGAGCCTGGTTTTACAGGTTTAGTAGTTTCCTATTGACACATGGTTTTGTCTGCAGTAAGTCTGATAATTCTTTGTTTATATATCGACATGGTTCCTCACTTATCTATCTTCTCTTATATGTCGATGATATTATTGTCACTGGTAATTCCCCTTCCTTTATTTCCACATTTATTTCATGTCTAGGCCGATGTTTTGCTATGAAGGATTTGGGGGATTTACACTTTTTCCTAGGTGTCCAAGCTGTTCGAGTACAATCTGGTTTATTTTTATCTCAACAAAAATATGTGTCTGATTTTCTCACCAGATTTCATCTTCACACTCTTAAGCCTGTTCGTACTCCTCTTGCTACGCGAACTAAGCTATCTCTCACGGATGGGGATCTCCTAGCAGATCCGTCTGAGTATAGAAGTATGGTAGGTGCTTTACAGTATTTAACTATGACTCAACCTGATATTACATTTGCTGTTCACTTGGTTTCCCAATTTATGCATGCGCCCCCGTACACCCCATCTTTTGGCTGTTAAGCGTATTTTCAGGTATCTTAAGGGGTCTATTTCACATGGGTTACTACTTCGGCCGAGCTCTACTTCTCCTACCATACAGGCTTACGCGGATGCTGATTGGGCCGGATGTCCTGATAGCAGTCGGTCCACCTCTGGTTTTGCTATTTTTCTGGGTCCTAATTTGGTCTCCTGGAAGGCCAAGGCCCAAGAAGCAGCCTACTGTGTCTCGTTCTTCCACAGAGGCTGAGTATAGGGCCATTACATACATTGTTCAGGATACTCTACATATACGCTCCATTTTATTTGAGTTGGGCTTTCCTGTGCGTACACCAGTCACACTTATGTGTGATAATATTTCAGCTTCTTATTTATCAGCTAATCCTATTCAGCATGCCCGCAGTAAGCATATCAGCATTGATTATCATTTTGTACGTAAGAGAGTTTCCCATGGTGATCTGGTTGTTCGACATGTTCCTACACAATTTCAGCTAGCGGATATTTTTACTAAGAGTTTATCTCCGCAGCGTTTTATTTTTCTTAGGGACAATCTGCGCATTGTTTCCCCTGCACAGCTTGAGGGGGTGTAATAGTGTAATAATACTTTAATTAGGTTACTAATTAGGTTTCCATATTTATTTGTTTCCTAATGTACTCAGAACTCTCGTATTATATATATGACATCTAGGCTACCACATTGAGGTATGCCTTTCCATTATTTTCACATACACTTCATACGTTCTTTTTAACAGTAGTAGTACTTTAAGCCCTAACTATTTACATGCAAACTTTTAGTGGTCGTTTGGAGCCTCAAAAATAGGCTTGTAAGCCTGAAAGTGTGAAAAAATCACCAAACATTGGCTAAATGGGCCGTTTGGGCTGATCAACCAGAAAAGTAACGATAGAGCCACTTTTCCCGCTGAAACGTATTAATTCAATGTTGCTATCCGTAATGACTCTTTGCCCACTTTGATATATCGATTGCTCCTTCCCCACACCAAATCGACGACTTCTTCAAATTCTTCAAGATCGACGAGGTATTCATCTGCTCGACTGTGTAATCTCTCCCTCCAGATCGGCAACTTCTCTTTTTCGGTTTCTCCATATATTCATCTAAAGGTAAGGTATATATTGTTCTTCTTCAATTTTTGCAGATGGCAAACCTATGTCTCTCCCAATGTTCTAAAAGGCGCTAGGTGCTAGTCGGGCGCCAGCCCAACGCCTAGCTCCTAGGCGGCTAGCTTAGGCGGGCGCCTAGTCGGGGACTAGTCAGCGGCATAAAAAATGCATTTTTATCTATATTTTTGCACAAATATGATAAATAATATTGTATTTGTGTGTGTATAAAGTACATATATACATATACACTAACAAACATGAATGATATGATTATCACATTTAATCATACGTAGTATATGACAACTAACCAGTTAACTTCATTATGTTATAATTATAAATAATGTTAAAATTTAGGTATATATACAAACATATACTCCCTCCGATTCAAAAACAAGTTCCACATTTGACTTCACATATATTAAGAAAAGAAATTTGACTTTACTGTGGAGTGCACTGTTTGACACTGTTTGGACACTGTTTGGCACAGTTTGACACTGTTTGGAATTGTTTTGATGTAGATAATTTACCAAATAAGGAAAGGTTAGAAAGTGGAACTTAATTTTGGAACTGCCCGAAAAGGAAAGGTAGGACTTGTTTTTGAATCGGAGGGAGTATATGTTTATCTTAATTTAAAACTTCATTTCTTTTATACATGGCTAAAGTTAAAGTACATATAACGCTTGAAAAATTAAAATTAGGGAAAATCGCACTTTTAGTCCCTGAAATGGTCATCATATTGAAATGTTAAACCCGTGTTCCCCATTTTGTAAATGTCACCCCTCAATTGTCCAAATTGGTGTAAATGTGTTACTTTGAGAGGTGAAATGTACAATGTGAGCGAGATTTACAACAATTTGGACAATCAAGGGGCGTCATTTACAATCTCATAAATATGGGTCTGACATTTCAATATGGTGACTATTTCAGGGACTAAAATGTGATTTTTCATTAAAATTAAAAAGTAAAGTAGTGTTGGGCGAATCTAGATAGCCTAGTCGGTCGATTAGGCGCTCTAGGCGGGCAACTAGGCGCTCTAAGCGGGCAACTAGATGTCATAGGTGGCCGACTAATTCACCTAGATGGCTAACCAATTAGTCGGAGTGCCTAAATGAAAATCGGGGCGTTCGACCACTGCCTAGCGCCTAGGTGGGGACTAGTCGAACGCCTAGAATGATTTTTAGAATAGAGGTCTCTCCTAGTTCTTCCCGGAATATATGACATTGGAAGTAGCGGGGTTGTCCTATGGTGACTAATGACCATTATGTTCCTCTCCCAGGGTGTTCATTATTTGTTGGGTGGGAGGCGAAATTGGACTGCAATTATTTGTTGGGTGCAACCTCAGTTCTACATTGAGTGGAGGATTTTTTGTGAAAACTATGGAAAATTGCAGTCTAATTGTTGAAGAATTTGACGGTTGCAGAACATAGAAGGGGTTGGATGGGTTTATAGGAAGCTCTATTTTCTGAAAATACTCTTATGGTAATTCTACATTCAATAAGACATTTCATCCAATATATTACCAAACACTTTCAATTCAGCAGATTCGGCCTTTTCAGGCTTATCAGCCATTCCAGCCCTTATAGCCGATACCAAACGAGCCCTTAGTGAAAGTGGAAAAGTATAAAGAATTTGGGACTACTAAAAAAATAAGGGAAAACTTGGGACGCAGAAATAAAAATGAAGAAAGTGATAAATAGAACTGTCATATTTTTATTCCCAAAATAAGAGTAATATTTGTCAAGTTTGATACTGTCATACTTTAAACATAACAATTTTTTTTTCAAGTTTTTCTCAAACTTGACAGAAATTAGTCTTATTTTTTTGGGAAAACTGTCAAATAAGCCCTTGTACTATGTCGAAATAGTCAATTAAACCCTCCAACTAAAAAAACACTCAATTAAACCCACAAACTTTAAGGGGACATGAATAAAATTTCAAAACATTTATACTATTATTCAAGCCAATTTTAAAAAATAAATGTTCTAATTTAAAATTTCAAAACATTTATACTATTATTCAAGCCAATTTCTACAAAAAAAATAAGGGGACATGAATAGAATAAAAAATAAATAAGCATGTCATCGAAAATAAAATAACCCTTAGAAAAAAAACAAAGGTGCCGTTTGGTAACACCTTTTTTCGGCTTATCAGGCTTATCAGCCAACTTTTTCACCAAACACGTAATTTTTGCTTTCGCGTGCTGAATTGTGTAATAAGCAGAAAAAGTAAGGTTGGAGTTACTTTTCTGGCTGTATTGGCTGAAGTTACTATAGAGGATCATTTTAGCTATTTTTACATATAATTTTTTCTTTATTTTATTAATAAAATATATTTTTAAAATATTTTTTTTTTAAATCAGCAGAATCAGCCAATACAGCTACTTCAGCCAGAACTTCAGAAATTTCAGCAGAATCAGCCAAACCAGCCGATTTTAGTGCCAGGGCTCAAAGTAAGATTAAAAATTAAATGAACCGGATAGACTAATAAAGTTAACAAAGTGAAGTGATCTCTCTCTGACTCTTGTTCGACTGAAAAAAGCGGCCATCTGGACTGTCTCCTTGCTACGAGGCGTTTCCTGCCATCGCCGCCGACCGCAAATCTCTTTCTCTGAACTTGCCGGCCTCCGGTTCTTTTCCGCAGACCTTTCTCTCTCTCGATTGGGTTGTCTCATTCTACACCATTTTCCGTAATCGTATTCAGCATCTCCACCTCATGCTTTATCCTCTGCTTTTCTTAGCATTCAGTATCGCATTTATCTTCCACACCCTCCACTCGAAGCTCGCTCAGAAAGGAAACCCGGATAGGACCCGAAAAGTTTCGGTCATTTGCGAAGAGCCTGATGTGGGTACGAATCCCGAGCAGGAGGGAATAGGGGACGCGAGCGGGTCCGACCCGACTCGAGTGACACGCCCTTTACTTATCGAGATCGCGCCGGCCATCTCGCCGAAATGGGAGGAGTGTGGAGGCGGAGACGGTTATGTGGTGGAGGAGAAAGAATCGGTTTCAGTTTTGGGGATGGAGGCGGTTAAAGAGAAGAGAAAGAAGAAGAAACGGGCTAAGAAGAAACGACCCGATTCGAATGGGGAGAAGGAGGCGCGAGAAGAGGTTGCCAGAGAGAAGCAGGAGTTGGTATGCGTTTACCCTTTTACGACGTCGTCTAGCGCGACTCAGAGGAGAATTAAGCAGCAATATGATGAGCTTGTCAGTTGTCATGCTTCCAATGGTTTAAAATTAGCTCAGGTTGTCTTCTTTCCCACATTTCCATTCCTAATTCTGTCTGTTATTATTTGTATTGTTTATCAAACTTTAATCATCTACTCATCAGTCATCATCCATAAAATGACTTGGATAATCACTTATGAAGATAATAATGATTTTTTTATTTTATCAGTATCTCACCTTAAAAAGGCCTCTTTCAAACACATCTTTTGTTCCAAAGAAAGAGTACATGTTGATCAAAGGATTTTATTTTTAAATTCATTGCCAAAAAAGAGTCAAAAACAAGTTATACTTATGATAAATGTGGGTCCTTGCCACAAACAAGTTACCAAAAAAGAGTTACAAACAAATACTACGTAACTTTTAAAGGGTTACGCACTGTTCATGATTTATAATAGTTGTACATTGGTGAAACTTGACTCTTTTTTTCGAAACAGAGGTAGTATTATCTTTCATGGTTTTATTAAGGAAAAGAATTGGTATCAGGGAAAAAATGTAGACCAACTGTAAGTGATTTTTGGGACAGTAAAGATTGTTACTTGATCAGTGTAATCTTATCCAAACTTATTATTCTTTCTTCACTTGTATTTCAGTGTATAATTCTTTTGTAATTTTGTAATGCAGGTTGAACGTTTTGTTAATTGCTTGATTGAGACAAGAAATGAGCTAGAGCACAAGTATGGTCTTATAATTTCTTTATCACTTGTAAATCTTCATATATTTGGTTGATAACTCTTTATGAGCCCACTATTCTGAGAGCCTTTGTATAATTGTGTTGCATTTTCTACACGAATAAAATCATTTGTAGACGCAGCACATGTTCTCTTAGTCTGAAAAATGTGATCTGATCTCAATTTTTTAAGATTTGATTTGGTCTTATCTTGTAAGTCTAGTGAGTCTTGTCTGGGTGTTTCTCATATTGTCTAATTTTCTTATTTGAAAATAACGTCTGGTGTAATTTGATCTTATTTGATTAAAATATGGGTAACTAATAAACAAAAATAAAAGAAAACGAAGAAGTTAACAGATCATGACCACAGTCTACCATGTTAGCATTTTTACGTGGATCCAACTATCATGTCAAGGCATGTTATCAGTGTTTCCCATGTCATGTCTGTATGTCAAATACAGACTTTTCTCTATTGGCTTAGTCTATGCATGCTTTCCCTGTCTACAAATTAGATATGCGCCGGGTTTATAACTTTCACTCATTGATCATTTTTTTAAACAATGACCAACTTTCATATCCTAAAGAAAGTTGAAACTTCTTATGATTTTTTTTATTGATGAACTTTTCATCCTTGGTTTCGGATTTTGAACCAAAATTTGATTATCTAATTTGCTGAATGCCAGATTATAATTGTGATAAAACACTTATCAACAGGTCTGAGACCATCCAAAGAAAATTCACCATAACAAAGGCCTTAATATTTCGGGCTGATAGGTCTTCATTAGATCGCCTTAGACAACAGGTGCTCAAAACTTGTTTTTCTATCCTCTCAAGTCTCAACTGATATACAAAATTATCACGTATTGTTTGTGGTGCAACATACTAACAACTTTAAAAAAAATACAATGAAGATGTACAAGTTAGAATTAGAGCAAAAGAGACTGGAAGAGGATGCGTTTGTATATAATTGGCTCCAACAGCAACTTAAACTCTCTCCAGCATACAAAAAGGTATGAATATTTTACATTTTCTTTTAATTAATCTCTTATCACTCATGATGTTTCCTATCACATATTCATGCTGTATTTTTGCCAAATGTTCCAGAAGAATCTTTGCATCTCAGATTTCAACTTGGTTGTCCTCTTTTTATACTCTGTCCATCCCAAAGAAAGTGTCTTTTGTTTTTTTACTCCATTTCCCCCGGGAAAAACACTTTTCCATTCCAACAATTAGGCTTGCTTGGTTAAATGGTGCAACTTTTCGTATAGTGTTCAAATAAGTCATACTTTCTTTCGGCATCATCACATAAATTCTAAGAGTATTAGTATGATTAATTATTTGTGGCTGTTGTGCAATATCAATATTAAATAGCTGTATTTTGGTCAAGCATGACTACTCCCTCTGTTGTGTACTACAGGACATTATTTTGAATTTCACACAGAACAAAGAAATGATCATAAGCATTAAATTATCTTCAATTTCCAAATGTCCTTGAACATTTTGTTGAGAATATGTTTCAGAGTTCTCAAGAGGGACAATTGTAGGAGAAAAATATATTGTTCATTGATATTGCAGAAGTAAATTAAATTTAGGATCACCTCAATATGTCTTAATAGGACTTAGTGAACTTACATTTTTTGGGTAGGAGGGGAGGCAGTAATGGTTTTCCCGAAAATGGCTTAATAGTTTATTTCTACAATTTTATAAAATCTTGCTAGGTTTTACATGCTCCAACTTGCTCTGGCATGTGAATCAAGAAAATAAAATTAAAAGAAACAAAACTAAACTCCCAATTAATTCTTTCTTTAAAAGGAAAGGTGTACTTTTGGGATGAAAAACAATGGGACTGAGAGAGTATAAGTACTCCTGCTACTTGAGGTAGCATTGAGGTATGACTGCTGACCTTTGGGCTCTGTCTTTCTTGAAGATGGTTGAGATTGGTGCTTCCTTAGAAAGAAAATCCAAGTCTCGTGAAATAAAGAATACTGATGCCGAAGAATTTACTGAGATTTCATTCGAAGAACTACTAGCACGAGAAAAGAAGGATGTTTTTTGGTAGGTATCACTTATTTCCTGCAATCACATATTTTAAGGGGGCGGCGGGAGTGGGTTGTTAACTCACACTGCACATATTCAGCATCTCTAGTAGCTAAGTAAATAAAATCACCAATGCAGGCAGAGGTGTGGGAAACCTAAACCCCCTTGCTCTAATTAACCGATGGACAATGAAGTTTTGTTTTGGTGAGGTGCTTCATGGCAGCAGCTTGTACACCCGACACTCAGCAGCAATTTTTGAGCAGCCTGCGACGGGCTTGCTGTCATAGATGATAGATCTATAAGCAACTGATAATAGTGTGGTTACATCTTTTATATAATTTCTTGCTAGTTTATTATTACTAGTAGCTTCTTCCAACTAAAGCTAATATATTCTCATGCTCTATTCTGGCCTTAATAGTCTGCTCTTTTATTTTGCCTTTATGTGCTGATTGATGATTTTGTGATTTCTTGAATTGCATACACCAATTTGGTTTGCTGCAAATCATGGAATTGCAAATATTAACCTTTGAATTATACACCAATTTGTTGATGATGTGTTAAGGCTGTGTTAAGCTGCATATATTTTGGGACTTGGGGTTCAACTAGGCATGGACTCAGGTTCGGGCGGACTGACCCGCTACTGTGCGGGACCGGCCCGGCCCGGGAAACTGGCTCCGGTACCGGGCTTAGGCCCGGCTCGAGGGGGTAACCGGGGGCGGTTCCGGGTCATGAAAAAGACAACCAGGCCCGGCCGGTTCAGACCTTTTTTTTGTTTTTTTGGGTTTGGGCTGGGTTTAGGTGGGCTGGGCTGTGTTTCCGAGGGGTTTGGCGGTGGGGGGGGGGGTGGGGGGGTGGGGGCTGAAATAAATAAGTAAACACAAAATAAATAAACCGGAACCGGTATACTCTCGGGTCGGTCCCGGGCCTAGGGGTGGACTCGGGCCGGGCCAACCGGCCCGGAACCGGACCGGCCCGCTACTGTGCGGGCCCGGACCGGCCCGGTCACCCGGTTCTTGACCGGTTCGGGCCACCCGGCCCGGGGGTATAGCGGTCCGGGCCCGGGCCTCCATTTTAGTGAACCGGCCCGGCCGGGCCGGGCCCGGTTCGGGCCTCCAACGGCCAAATTTTTTTAAATTTTTTTTTTTTTTTTTTAAATTGGAAGAGCTCCTCCTAGCCGTTGGGAAGGCTCCCAAACGGCTCTATAGCCGTTGGGAGCATAGGAGGGGGGGTCTGGGGGGTTAGGGGGGGTGGGGTGGGGGGGTCGGGTGGGGGGTGGGGGTGGGGTATAAAAAAAAATCTATTTAAACTCCTATTTTCTCTACATTTTTTACATCTCTTCTTCTACAACTCTTCCTACTCTCTAATTCTCTACTCTAAATCTCTCATATTCAATCATCTTCATTCTTCATCTTCTCCAAATTCTTTCTACATATATATAATTATTATTCTACTTATATATTAATTATCTATATAAAAATATATACTTATACACATTCATATTATAATTCTTTACACATTATATATACTATATAAGTATATATACTATACACATTCATATTCACTTGATATTTAGTTATTATCCATACTATTGTTATTTACTTATATTTACATTTTACATTTAGTTAATATATACTTATATATATATATATATTAAAGTATTAAGTATAAGTGTATTACTCATCTTATAGTAATATACTTATATATTATATACTATAAACATTATATTATATATTACTTATAAATTATAATATATTTACACATTATATATACTATATATACTTATACACATTCATATTTATTTGATATTTAGTTTTTATACATACTATTGTTATTTACTTCTATTTACATATTACATTTAGTTAATATATACTTATATATATATATATTAAAGTATTAAGTATAAGTGTATTACTCATCTTATAGTAATATACTTATATATTATATACTATAAACATTATATTATATATTACTTATAATAGTAGTTAATTGTTAGACTTCTAATTTATCTATTAAATTAGTTAATTGTTACAATTCTCTACATTTCTCTTTCAAAAATTAAATAGTTAAAGTAGTATATTTTTACATTTGTCATATTTCAATTAGTTAAAGTACTTAATTGTTTCATTTGTCATATTAAAATTAGTTATTTCATACATTGCTCATTAAAGTAAAAAAAAAAACTAGTTAAGTTTGCGTGAATTTTTACATTTTTACATTTGCGTGAATTAAAGTAATATTTGCTACTAATTGCTACTTAAATGTAACATTTCTCATTAAGGTAAAAATAACTAGTAAATTTTTACATTTGTCATTTTAAAAACTACCTAAAGTAGTTAATTGTTAAAATTGTCATATTAATATTAGTTAAACTACCTAATTGTTACATTTCTCATATTAATATTAGTTGATTTGTACATTGCTCATTAAAGTAAAAAAAAAAACTAGTTAATTTTTACATTTCTCATATTTATATTAGTCAAACTAGTTAATATTTAGTTAATTGATACATTTCTCATTAAAGTATTAATTAGAAGTAGTTCGATTTGTATACTCATATTTTAGTTCGAATTCGCAATAGTTTTCTTAGTCACATTTTATTATTACTATTGTACTCATATAAAATATTTGATATCATTTAATATTTGTTCAATTTTAAAGATGGAACGTGGTAGACATTCTGTAGATGTGGGTAATCTCCAACGCAACCGCAAGAGGGAGATTGCGTCGACTCGTCCTAATTCACGCAAAGGCAAAGGTAAAGCGCGGGCCGAGTCTTCTTTTCAAAGTCGAGATGATTTTGAAACGGATTACCAACGGAGAGATGATATGATGATGTCCGACGAGCATCTACAAAACCTATTGTCCCAAAACGATCCACGCTTTGCACAAGAACAACCCATCCCGACAACCATTGATGAAGAGGAGCTCGAGGATGACGATGCGGAGGAGGACGCGGGGGGCGACGGGACTCACGGCACCCCGGATGATGAGCAAGACTTGGAGGACGAGGGCGGTTCAACCCAAACTGGTAAGAAATCTAAATCTCCTATTATTGAAAACAATTTTACAAAAAGGAAAGACAAAAATACCGAAAAATGGTACGCAAGTTGCAATCATTGCGGCAAAGAGTATAGCTTGGGAACTTCTGGCGGATACGGGAGTCTCACAAGGCATCTTAAATCCGCCCATCTTGTGGAGTATGCGAAAATAGACAAGGGCAAGGGGAAGCAAACACAAATATCGAGGTTTGCAAATTCTCAACCCTTTGGTAATTTCTCCTATGATGATCAAAAACATTTGACTGGTATGTCTCATTTAATTGTTGAAGAAAATTTACCCTATATTTTTTCCGAAAGTCTTGCTTTAAGAGATTATGCTCAAGGCACTTTAAATCCTCAATTTAGAAATTATAGTCGCAAAACGATTAAAAAAGAAGTTATAAGGCAATATAACTTCGAAAAAGAAAATTTACAAACATTTTTCGCAAACTTTAATGGACGTGTTAGTATTTGTAGCGATATATGGGAGGATACTTATCATCATTTATATTATTTGGGTCTTACTGCACATTATATTGATGATGATTGGAATATACATAAACGTGTTCTTGCATTTCGTGAATTCAATGATCGTCATACTGCTGATAATATTTATATTCTCATTGAGCGTATTTTAATTGAGTATAATTTGCTTGATAAGGTGTTTGCTGTAGGTTTTGATAATGCTAGTAATAATACTGCTGCTATACCTAGATTGCGTGAATTGTGTGGTGCTTCTACATTGATGGGTAGGTTTTTTCATCAACGTTGTGCATGTCATATTCTAAATTTGTGTGTACAAGATGGATTAGCGGCATTAGGAAATGCTTTGGAGGTAGTGAAGGGGGGAATTAAATTGATTTGGGCTAACACTCCACTAAAAATGCAATGGCGACAATATTTGAAGGAAAGACGTGTCAATTATTGTGCTTTTCCTAAAGATTTGTCTATTCGTTGGAATAGTACTTATAACTTAATTCAAGTACTTATTAGATATAAAGAACATTTTCCTGCTTTTTTAAGACAAACTTGTAACTATATTATAAACCCGGCTGACATCGACACTTGTGAAAAAATTGTTAATGTTTTGGTATATTTTAATAACGCAACTCAAACTTTTAGTCATGTTTATAAACCTACCGCAAACGAATTTTTTGTTGAAGCTGTTAATCTCGCCGGCGCATTTTTAGAATTTTCCGATGCCGCTTACGTTAGTTATTTTTGTGATTTCATGAAACAAAAATTTTTAAAATATTATTCACATGTTCCGCATATATATGGTATTGCATTTGTTCTTGATCCTCGTTATAGACTTGCCGCGTTGCCAAGTTGTATAGATTACTATTATAATTGTTTTTTTCCAACTCAAGAGTTCGATGATAATCCCATCGACCCTAAACAAGAATACAACGAGGTTAGTAATTTATTTCATCAATTGTATAATGAATTTTATGCACAATATGGTAATGCACCCCCTCCCATGCCGCGAACATCTTCTTCATCTAAAGGAAAATCACTTTTAAAATCTGCATTTGGTTCTCTTATGAAAAAAAGTAGAGCAACTCCCGCTACTGAACAAAGCTCAGTTAACGAGCTTTCTATCTATCTAACATTGAATGTTGATTATGAAGTTGGGGATGATTTTGACGTTCTTAAGTGGTGGAAGGACAATGAAAGAACGTTCCCGGTTTTATCAAAACTGGCTAAGCAAGTGGTAGCAATGCCGATATCAACAGTTGCCGTGGAACAAGAATTTAGTGCGGCCGGCAACGTCCTAACTGATTATAGAACGAGGTTGAGCCCGAGCTCTCTTGAGACGCTAGTTTGCTTCCATGATTGGTTGAAGGCCAAACGAAGAACTCAAGAAATGACCATCGCTCCCACCCGCCACTTTATGGAGGAAACAACCACCGAAGGCGGAGATTCCGATTGATTTTTTATTTCAAAATGTATTACATATTTTAAATGCATCCTAATTCTCAATTGTACTTCTTATTTGAAATAAATATACTTGAATTATTTTATATTATTGTGTACATCAATTCAATAATTCAATTCAATAAAATTCATTTGTAAACTTGTACTTCATATGTAGCACTTCTCAAATTAATTAATTGGTTACAATTTTACAAACTTATAACTTACAACTTGAAATTATTTTTGTAAAATCTAAAGGCTGTTTTTAAATTAAAATATGTAATATTAATATGTAAATTAATTAATTTGTTACAAACTTACAAGTTACAACTTATACACCTATTTTGTAACATTTGTAAATTATAAATCAAATCACTTTTCTAAGTAAAAATAGTTTTACTTAATTAAAAAATTAAAAACATTTTCCTTACACAATATGTATAATTTTCTAAATCATATCACTTTCCTTACACTTTTCTAAATCAAATCACTTTTCTAAGTAAATTATACACAATATGTATAATTTTCCAAAAAAGAAAATTAAAACATTTTGAAGTGGGAGATTGCTCCCAAACGGCTATATAGCCGTTGGGGCTTAGGGTGGGGGGGTGGGGGGGGTCGCGGGGGGTGGTGGGGTGGGGGTGGGGTTAAAAAAATCTATAAATACATCTATTTTCTACCATTTTCTACACCTCTTCTCCAACTCTTCTCCATCTTCATCTTCTCTTATTATCCTACATTTCTACTTATACATCTACCATTTTAAAGATGGAAAGTAATTCTTCTGTTATGCAAAACAACTTTGACAAGTGGAAGGATCCGAAGACCGGACTGTGGTGGGCAACTTGCAAGTGGTGCAAGAAAGAGTGTTGCTTGGGGCGTTCACACGGAGTTGGGATGCCAATGAAACATATGAAGTCATGTGACAAAGGTAAAACAACAACCAACGGTGGCGGAAATCCCAATTGATATTTATTCGAAAATGTATTTCATATTGTTATTTTTTCCTCAATTCTCAAATGTACTTCCTATTTCAAATAAATGCACTTGAATTTTGTTTTTCATAACAATTATTATAATTATATAGTATAGAATATAAAAAAAAAATGAAAAGGACCGGCCCGAACCGGGCCCGGCCCGTGAACCGGGCGGGCCACCCGGCCCGAACCGAACCCGGGGTTACCCGGGCCGGTTCCGGGCCTCCCAAACCGTGAACCGAGGCCCGGCCGGTTCAAGGCCCGAACCGGGCCCGGCCCGAACCGAGTCCATGTACCGGGCCTTACCCAAAACCATCCAAGCCCAGCCGGGCCCGAACCGGAACCGGACCGGGCCCGGTCCACCCCTAGGTTCAACAATCAATATGGAAGGATTTTGAATTTCTATTTCGTTTATCAAGCCAAACCAGAATGATGTGTACAAATCAGACCCAATTTCATATTTCGAACAACAATGTTTGACAAGATTAATGGAGTGTTTGTTTTGCTTCTATTTCTGAAAATGGATTAATTTTAGAGGTTATGTGAAAAATGATTAACACGAGTAGTGGTGGATTTGGTTCGGGCCACCCGGCCCGTGACCCGGCCCGGTACTGTGCAGGCCTGGGACCGGCTCGGTCCAGGACCGGGTGTTTACCCAAACCGGGGGTGCAGCGGGGGGCGGGCTCGGTTCCGATAAAAGGTGACCCGGGCGGGTCGGGCCTGGGTCGCAACGGCTATTTTTTTTTTTTTAAAAAAATTCTTTTTTGGCCAAAACAACCGTTTGGCTGGGCACCCACTTCCCAAACGGCTATATAGCCATTGGGTGGGTTGTGGGGGGGGGGGGGGGTCCGGGCCATTTGGGGCAGGGGGGTGGGGGGCTGGGGAGTCAAAAAAACTATAAATACTCCTAATTTTAAACATTTTCCACATCTCTTCTCCAACTCTTCCTAAATCCTACTCTCTACTCTCTAATCATCTCTATCTTCATTTTCTCAAATTCTCTTATTCTCCATTATATTTTATTTTACTATTTAGTACTTATACAATTATTATATCTACTTATATATTAATTATCTACTTATAAATACATATACTATATTACTTATATTTCTTATCTACTTAATCTCTACTTATTATCTAGTTATATCTACTTAATACATACATACTACATCTACTTAATATATACTTTATATATTAAAGTATTAAATATACTTTATCTACTATTAGTATATACTTAATACATACTATTATCTACTTCTCTACTTATATTTCTTATCTACTTATTCTCTTATTCTCCAATCTCCATTATATTTTACTATTTAATTCTTATACAATTATTATACCCACTTATATATTAATTATCTACTTATAAATACATATACTATATTACTTATATTTCTTATCTACTCATTCTCTACTTATTATCTACTTATATCTACTTAATACTCCCTCCGTTTCCAAAAGAAAGTCACAGTTTGACTTCACGATTATTAAGGAAATAAATTGACTTTACTGTAGAAAACACTATTTAGACACTATTTGGACACTGTTTCGCACTATTTGACACTGTTTGGATGTAGATTTCTTTGCCAAATAAGGAAATAAGGGAAGTGTGATTTTGTTTTTGAAACATCCCAAAAAGGAAAGTGTGAGTTTCTTTTAGTATATACTATAAACATTATATTATGTATTAGTTATACAATTCTTATATCTACTAATATAGTTGGAATTATATCAAATTAATTCGAACTATATTAATTAGTATATTAAGTATATATATTAAGTATATAAATATTTGATTTTTACTAATATATTACTTTGAGGGAAAATGAAAACTAATAATCCAACCTTTTAGCGGTCTTCTTTTAATAGTCCGACCTTTGCGTTATTCATGAATAATCCAACTTTTGCACCTCATCTTCATTCATTGGTCCCCGACCGGTTGATGACATGCTATTCCGAGTTATTTTCTTATCTTTGCAAACTATTATACCATAAATTCCACCTTTCACAAAGATAATATTTTGCAAAGAAAAGAAAATAACTTGGAATAGCAGATCATCAACCGGTCAGGGACCAGTGAATGAAGATGAGGTGCAAAGGTTGGATTATTCATGAATAACGAAAAGGTGGGACTATTAAAAGAAAACCGCTAAAAGGTTGGATTATTAGTTTCCATTTTCCCTTACTTTTATTACATCTGATTTTTACACAATATTTCTATATTAGTTACACTTTAATTAGTATTAGTTAAAATCATTCTATTACTACTCATTTATTCTCATTAATTAGTATACACATTCATACATTTATCTTATTACTTACATTTACACTCATTGTTTGGCCGTTAAAAGCTTTGAAGCTCTCACATGGTTCGCGAATAGTCTCGCTCCTTTCGGGGCGGTCTATTCTATGTCTAGCCTGAGAGTGGGAGGGCCTTTTGGCTATGCAGAGGTTTGGCGATGTATGTTTGGAAGATCGTTGAGAATTTGCGTTGATATAATATAATCAGTTTCCTTAAAAAAATCATTTTACAGTCACACTTACTATAAATAACTATCAATAACTATAAGTAATGTTGCTGCAACCCGCAACACAAGTATTTATCTTGCACTTTGTGCTCAAATTGCTCATTTTTTTTTGGAAACAAGCTTAAATTCAATAATCTCTCACTTTTTAGTATATTCACACACTCAACTTGACATTGACATTTCAATCTCATTCATTTTCTGAATATGGGGGGTGTTTGGTTAGTGGCCTATCGGCCATTTTTTGGCTGATTTGACTGATTTTGGCCTTTTGACCAACTCAATCAGCTAATTAGAGTGTTTGGTTAAATAGCTTTTCTATTTAGCTTTTTGTTCCAAACAGCCAACATACTAAACGCCACTATCCTTAGCGTTTTGGGCATGGCTGTTTCTATACAATCTTGTTTTCCTATTTTATCCTAAGCAGCTATTGATTCTTTTTCCGATAAACTATTTCTCGTCTGCCATAATAATCAAAATCACACGTGTCGGTAGTTTAATGATCACCATGGGCCATAATAGTAGTGGACAATTTGACTTCTATTTACCTCACATTTATATAAGAATTTTTGCTCCTAGAAAAATCATTTTATAAATAATAACTCAAACATAAACCTTTGGCGACTTAACAAACGAAAGACTAGTGACCTCAAAACAAAAATTAAAGACTAGAGACGGTAGTGTTTAACAAATTAAACATTTGTATAAGGAGTTTTGCTCATAACTAAATTAAAAATACTAATTCAATTTATTAATTCGTGAAAATGTTTAAAATAATTATTATTTGTGTTAATACATTTTATTATTTTTAACTCATAAGAACGGTTTAGTAAAAAAAAAAACTCATTAAAACGGTTTACGTAGTTGTGCTAATTACATTAATAAAAAATTAATCCATGTCCTTAATAGTCATTTACTAAGTTATCAGCTGATTGTAAACAGCAATTTAACCAAACACTATTTTACAAACTGTTAATCTCATCAGCTAACCAAAACAGCCAACAGGATCTGCTGTCATCAAACAGCTAACACAACCAGCCAACAGCCAATGGCCAACAGCTAATTGCCAAACACCCCCATGATATGGTTTCACCATCCTAATCCTCTATTATATACTACCTCCGTTCTTAAATAAATGCAACACTTTGACTTTTACACTATTCACATGTTCTACTTTGACTACGTTTTATTTATTAATGTAATAATATTATTTTATGAAAAAAATATTGTTAAACTTGTCTCATTGTAAATTTTCATAATCTAATTTTTTTAATTTTTTTACTAATACAAAATCATTTATATTAATGGTCAAAGTTGTGTCTCGGCAAGTGTGAAATGTTGACTGTTGCATTTATTTAAGAACGGGGGAAGTATCATTTAAGAAAATTCACATATCATCAAAGGTATTTTAAATTAAATTGATTTCGGTCCCAAACCAGATCTAATCAATTCTGATTAGATTAGATTAAACTAGACCAAATCAGAATCAGATGGTCGGATGAAAAAAATCATAACATCGTGGGTCGGGGCCCAAAGCTCTGTTTCACAAGTGCGCTTTTGGGCCGTTGTCTTTCACTTGTGTTTTCGCTGCAACAATTACCGGATCCTTCGCTGCCCGCCGAGCAAACGTTCGACCATTTGCCTAAAAGAAGCCTTGAGCAGTGGAGAAGGAAGTCATGAGTGCCGGGAAGTTGAAGAACTTGCTGGCATCGGTAGCCATCGGAGGAGTGGCCGAGGCGAGGGCGAGCATATTTGGCCACGTGCTTAACCCCACGGGCGAAAGATCTGCTCATAAAATTCTGCGCAAGAAGCTGATTGGAGATAAGGTTTCGCAGTGGTATCCCCACGACATCAGAAAGGACGATCCTCTCATCATGGCTCGAGAAGAACAAGAGTATTTCCTTCCTCTGATCTCCTATCTGAGTTTATTCTTAACTCCAAATTGTGTGTATTCTTCATACTACACTGTAACAATGCACTGGCTTTTGTATATGGTTGTGTTTCTTTGCTGCATCAAATATATTGTTTGAGTTCTTGGCTGTGGTTATCATATGTTTGGTGAAGTATAGTTACTGAATCATTCTTGTATGCTTACTTTAGTTACTTATGCTCTATTTTTAGAGAAGGATATATATATATATATATATATATATATATATATATATATATATATATATATATATATATATATATATATATATCGTAAAAACCTTTCAAATCACTTCTTGCTTGGTAGAATGAAAATATGGAATAGAATCCTTGTAGACTTGTAGTAGACCCCTGGCTGGAATGATATTAGGATTTGATTGAGTTGAAGTGAAATTTTTTGTAGTCTGATACGATTTTTCGACCATATATTTCAAGGGTCATGGAGAAGCTTTTTTTAGTAAAGAAATTTCTTTCAGATAAATCCACTCTAAGAATTTGATATTTCATTAAAACTTGACATAGTTGACATAGATAAATGCTTGTATAGAATCATGGGCTTAGATAGCTAATGCTGATAGATCTACACTTTGTAAAAGGACTTCCTCTTGACCCCACCCCCCCAACAATCATTTGGTTCAAGGAGATGAACACTGTCTGGAATGTGCAACTGCCAACCTGAGTCTTTGTATTGGAATATGGGATAAGTGCATGTATAAGATGAAGAAATCAAAATGACTCCCTGTTGTCAACTTTGGAGTTTAAATATATTAGCCACTCCTTTTTATTTGTTCTTAGCTGGTTCCTGCTTTGGTTAGTAAAGTGGCGGAATTAAAGCTAGAACTATTGTTGGTAGCTAATAGACACTCCCTCTGGTTCATAAATGTGTCATTTTTTAGGAATCAATCAGATTGAGTTACAAAATGAAGAAAAACATTGCAATGCTCCCCTTGGTAATATTTAATTATCATTGAAGATTATTTTTCTTAGGTGTTAAAGATGGAAATTATGAAAAATAGCTTTATATATTGTCTTGGATTTTATAGAAAAAAATGATGAAACATTTCCCCCCTCCAAAACAACACTTGTGAATTGGAGGTAGTAGTAATTCTTAGCACCAAGGGCGAGGAGACTGAGAAACTAACATTGAAATGCTTAGTGATGTGTTCCAATGTCTTTGGTTGTTCCTACATCTATCCACAAATGAGTAGTGTTAGCTTTTAATACAATGATATGATGATGATAAGAACATTTTTTATATCAATATTCTCAATGGTTTGTGATTCAACAGGCGCTTAAGTAAGCTTGAAATGTTGAAGCGCCGAGGTAAGGGACCACCTAAGAAGGGGCAGGGAAGGCAAGCAAAGAAGCGGAACAAATAGGCATTGTCTCTAGATCGTCTACTAATACTTGACCAAGCATTAGTGTTTTGTTATTTCATAGCTCGTTTTTCTCTCTATGTGGTATTTTTTGTCAAGGTCAGACTTACTACTATCTGTCCTGGAAAAACAAGTTATGCTTGTAATAATGATTTTAATACTGAAATCATAGATTTCTTTTTTTGTGCAGACAGATTACTTTATTTAACAGAAACTATTTATAATGTAATGTCAATGCTAACATTCGGCTTTTTATCATCTGACTCTCTAGTCTTGATAAGAGAAAGATTGTATGTACTGTACACCCTTCTAGGATGAATTATTTGTGAGCCATATCTTCTCGGCTTCTGGAATGGCCAAATATCTTAAGGACTTGAAAATGGTACTGAACTGGTTGGTTGGTAAAGGCATTAACAGACTAATGAATATTTACTTCTACATCTGATTTCAATTGTTAATACTCCCTCCGTCCCGCTAAGATCTTCTTGCTTTCCTTTTTTAGGTGTCCGTCCCGCTAAGATCTTCCTGCTTTCCTTTTTTTAGGTGTCCCAAAATGAAGTTCTCATTTCCCTAAATGGAAAGTTATTTTACATCAAAACAGTGTCAAACAATGCAAAACAGTGCCAAACAGTGTCAAACAGTGTACTCTAGAGTAAAGTCAAATTTATTTCCTTAATATGTGTGTAGGTCAAATTAGGAAGTTCTTAGCGGGACGGAGGGAGTATTCATTTATGAGGTGAACTACTTGATAAGCTCTCATTTACCTGACACTTGAAAGAAAAATAAAAAATGTTCTCAAATACTCTTTGAATCTTCATTTTAAAGATTAGGAACTTCCATTCTGCACTTTTTATCATCAGACTCTGGCCTTGATGAGGTAAAAGATATGATCATATGACCACTTTTGGTATGGGTATATGCACTTTATATCATCAGACCCGGCACACTTCCCATCCCCAGAAAGGAAATCTTGGTCTCTCAGCATGATTTTTTGTTTGAGAAAAAAATTATGCTTCACATGTCTGTATATTACAATTTGGGGGTTTTTCAAAAATATTATTAAAACAAAACTTATTTACAAAAAATATGACTAATAGTTACTACAATGTAGTGTCATGGTAACTTAAGATAAAAAAGTGAACACAAGTTAGTATGATTTAATTACTATTATAGTCACTAGTCATATTTTTGTAAACAATCTTTATTTTAGTCATATATATTAATTATTTGTGACAATTTACAAGTAAAAACATGTCTATTAGAGTTTGTTACATATAATTTAAACAACAAATCTTCCACGGCCCACTCCAACGGTATATTCTATTTGAATTCAAAAACAAGAGTATTACTCCCTCCGTCCCAATTTGTTTTGCAAAATTTCCTATTTTGATTTTCTCAAAATGGTTTTCCACTTTCTATTTTAGGTATGTAAATAAGAGTAAAGTGACATATTCACCCTTACTTTTACTATTTTTCATCAACTTAAAGGCATCTACTTTTAGGATAAAATACAAAAGTGTAAAAAGCAAACATCATTTATTGTCATTCTTTAATCCTTGTTCCGGTCAAAGTTTGCAATTCAATTCGGAACAGAGTGAGTACGTTTATTCTTTAAAATGGGTCCCGTTGTCATGAAATTTATCTACCATATTTTGGCATTATCAAATTTATTATCAAATAAACAAGACTTCATTGAAGTATTACGTTTTATCTTTAAAAAGGATCTCGTTATATTTTTCTTTTGCTCTCATGATTGCCAGTACTTTCCAGTTTCCAAGCATTATATTAGTTACTCCTATTTTGAAAAAATTTAATGCTCCTATTTTAGAATTCCACATTCTCTTTATTCGTATTTAGGGTAATTAATTTTATCACCACCACCAGCACCACCATCTTCATTAGTATTGTTAAATATTAAATATTATAATGATAAATAATTTTAAATAATACAACCTATATATAATCATAAGTCAATATTCACTACAAAAAAAATTCGCTATAGGCAAGGAATTTGGCTCGGAATCCTTCAGAATATTCCCAGACTAACGGGTTTGGCTCGGTTTTGGCTCGGGAAAATTTTCCCAGCCACCCAGCTCGAGCCAAATGGATTGGCACGGAATTTTTAATCCGTTCCAAATTTGACACGGTCTTTGGCCCCGCTTTTACAGGACCAATTAGTCAATATAATCTGATGTGTTTGTCTCAGATTAATTCCGTGCCAACTTGTCTCGGATTATGCCGTCACAAAAGAACCCAGGTGAAGTTTTGGAATCTAAATTTTGGCAGGGAATATTCAAAATTTCAAATTTGAATTGTGTGTCTGGGATATAAATCCGAGCCAAATGAAAACCATTAAAAAAACAAATACCATATAGGTGTACAGTAAGATTGTACACCTATACAGTATATGTTTTTTTTTTTACCCAAGCAATATCTGAATTAAAAGAAAGAAATACAATGAACAAAACAACCACAAAACATTTTATTCAAGCATAACTAATACACATAACCACAAAACATGTCATTCAAGCATAACTAATAAACAGTGGCATTGTTAATTTGTCCAGATTGTCCAGATTGAACAAATTAACCACAAAACCCCCACATTGTCCAGGTTCCTCATAAGGGATATCCAAAAAACATTAGATAAGTCCAGAAAGCTTTAAAAACAGAAAATTACAACCTAGCTTCCACCGCACCATTGCCCCCCAACTCATTGAAAAGCTCGTCCATCCCGACTTCATTGGAATCACCAGTCAGTCCATTCATCGGCATCGGTGTCGGAGTACGAAAGTCAGGCAATGGGATAGACGGGTAAGTGCTGCGTACTTGCTCCATAAATGCCATAAAGGCTCCAGACATACTGGCCATTTGAGCGGCTATTTGAGCAGCCATTTGAGCTTGAACTTCCTTTTGGTGCTGTGCGAAGCGGGCTTCAACCTCCTCCCGAATCCGCCGATCTATCTCCTCTTGAGTTGGCCCTTGGCTAGGGCAGTCAACGCTTTCCATCGATTAAGCTTCTGACCCGGTCCCAAACCGGCGCCCTCTATACTTCGGCACAACCTTGCAGAACAGCTCGGTATCGTCTTCAGCACAGGACTTCCCTTCAGATTCCGCAATGGCTTTCATTTCATTGTATTTGTTCTGCCAAAACAAAACATTATTTTCTACATCCGGAAAAAAATGCTATTTCAGAATATAAAGATTAATAAATTAACGCACCCGGGTTTCAACCACACGAGCAGGGGGGTCACCAATCTTCGGCACATACACTTTCTCAAACACCTCAATTTTCAGCGGTCGACGATTCAAAGTCTTAGTCTATTACCACAAAAACAGAATAATGTAATTAATAAATAAGTCGAACAACTGTTAAAAGTAGTAAAAATAATTAAACATATAAAACGAAAACAGAAACTTAAAACAAATAAAACAGTAAACATTAAAAATTATTTCAATAATGTGCACTAATATTAGTGCACATTATTGAAATAATTTTTTATAATATCAACTATTTGAATATATAATAAAAAGAGCAAAGTTAAATTCTAATTACATCGAAATTCAGTTATTTAAAACTTCAAAATTCATATCACACTATAGAGTATAAAGTCATGGTTCCACAGTAGTCCCATGACTCCTAGTCTCTCAATGGAGTCTTGTTTATGCATCTATATGCTAATCAGCTCACTAGCATCATCCGATCACTTTAAATACTTCACATTAATTATCCAACGAAACCCGAGTGAACGTGTTGGGCTTTTGGAGTGCGAACACTTAATTTCATCAATTATATAATTATAACTATAATTATATGCAGTAGTATAGTATATCGGTGTCCTTATTTGTATAATTACGATTATCATTCTTATAAGCCTTATCACTACCATTATATTACAAAGTATACAGTAATACTTAGTATTGCTGTTATTATAAAATAATAGCTACCAACAACCTACATATGTATAATAATAGTAACATACAAATATTAATAATGATAACAATACATTAATAATAAAATGGTGTAGTAATAATATTATCATTGATAATAACACTAGCAACACCATATGATGTTTTATTAATTATTAATAACATACAAATAATGATAGTTATATTCATAAAGTTATTCATAATTATTTTTTATGGAAACAACCTAAAATAATAACATACTAATAATAATCAAAGAATTGAAGTAATAATAATAATATTAATAATATTATTATTAATAATAATGTAGTGGACTAACATTATTATTTTATAAAATAATATTAATAATATTAATAATAATAAAAATATAGTATATAACGTTATTATTTTATAAATATTAATAGCAAGAACCTATGCTTTTATATTTATAATAAAAACAACAACAAAATATAAATAACAATAACAACAAAAACAACAATAATATTGATAATAGTATTGCTAATAGTAATAATAGTAATAATGATAATAAGAAGTATATATAAGTAATAAATTATGTCTGAATTTTTCTGATCTAGTCTAAATGTTTTTGGTTTGATCTGAATGTTTTTGATCTGGATCTTTTTTTTTCTTATTTGATCTGAACCTTTCTGATATGATCTAATCCGATCCGATTTTAATTTTTCGGTCTGATTTGAATTTTTCTGATTTGATTTGATTTGTATTTTTCTAATATGATTTAATTTGAATAAAATAAGAATAAGTAACCACCCGAGACAAACATAACAACTACTTACCATAGAAATACTTATAGTGCTACTTATGCTAATTACCTCGCTAGCTATCATGCGAAAATATCTTGCTTGATTTCGGCAAATTTTTTTGTGCTAAAGTTCATGTTTCTTGCGTATGAATGTCAAACCGTACGTGCCATAAGTTGCTTGCCTAGTGGATGGAGCATTTATTAGGTGACTTATATTGTTTTTGCCAATCAAATTGCTGGTGTCTTTACGAAATGGTTGAGCTACTTATAATGCTTCAAATATATAAACTATATAAAAACAATTACGAGATCGGTATGAATTTGACACGAATTTACCGATGATTTTTTACCAAATAGTTCGTGTCCAAGTGTTTTTGGCACGAGTTTGACATATTCCTGTCAAATTCTCCATGATTTTTTTCGGAATCTCTACCAAAATCTCTGTTAATCCCGTGTTTTTTTGGTATAATAAACTAATATTGGACTACTTTGGGAGTTCTAGAAGATTATCTTTTAGGATGGTAATGGAGTCTCAATATGACATCACATTTAGCCATACTGAATTTGTGGGCCGCTATGAAAAATGAAATTGGCGATGACTATTACGAACAAATAAAGGAAAGATAAATGATGACATGATTAGGCGAAATGTTTTTGTCACTCATGTAAGATGTGAAACAATAAAATAGGAAGTGTAAAATATATAGTGGGTCACCCCTTCAGTCCTGTTAGGATAGAACTTTAGTCTTAACAAAACAATACTCTTTTAGTTGATTGTATATTCGAAGTATATTCTATTGTAAAGTTTGCACAAATTTATTATAGAGGTACATCACATGCAAGGTTCAGTTCTGAATAGAGGCGTTTTGCAGCATGTCATAATTTGCATCATTCTCCATTCCTCATGCATGTTTGTCACACCCAAACACACACACTCAGGATGTAGAATCTCAACTAAAGCCTATTCTTATATATGGAGCATTACAAATGGTTGATTATACGTGATGAGTAAGAGTAACTCGGATATCGTGACTGTAGCGCCAACTAACCGAGCAGATGTGGCGAATCCATTCGGTTAAGCACGGGCACGTTTTGCAGCTCTAACCTGCCTTTCGCTGCATGCTTTCGAATCGTTTGGTGTCGTTAAGGTTATCTTATGGCTTGTGTAAGTGCGTATGCCATCAACGTTTGATGTCAAACTGATGGCTTTCTGTTTCTTTATAAAATTTGGATGGCAGGCAGAATTCTTTGGCAGATGAACAACCCTTACAGTGCATGCCTTTTCCAGGTTTGGAATTGCATGGAGATGTGAAGGAAGATCTATAAGGAAATATCCTTGTTCATCTGTTGTGTTGTGTGCCTCACATGATGTTTTCCTCATCTTCCCCTTTCTGTTGCAGCTGACTCCCACTGAAGCTCCTGCAATTTCTTACACATCAAAAGACATTAGTCTTTTAGGAGATTTGTTGATAAAATCCCTTTATAATTCAACTTGGGATAATTCCCGAAATAAGAGTAACAACGTTTTGTAATTCCAAAATTTGACTGTAACGTTTTTATTCTCTAAATAGGAGTACTTGCTATCAAGTCTAGTAGTTCCAAAACAAGACAGTAATTAGTTCTATTCAGGGCATAAAACACGACAGTCCTATTATGGAATTCACAAACAGTTTATTTAGGTAATTAGTTCACTTTTATATACATCTCCGCTATTAATTAATCTCGATCGTATCTAATGTAGCTGATCACTTATGAATTATTCTGACGTTTCCTAACAGTTTTTAATGTAGATAAATTTATCACTTACAATATGTTTTACAAGTAAACCTAATAATGTTATAGGAGGTTAGATCATCATCATTATTACCATAGTGCCGTAAAGCTCTCCATGTACGCAATCATATCCATGTACTAAAAGTATAGAGTGATTGTTTCCTAATGACTCATCATAGTCTAATCATGGTTAGATACATACGTAGTATGTAAATTAAGGGACTAAATATATAATTTTCTCTTCCAAAGCAAACTTAATTATAACAGACCTGAGAGGGGAAGAGGTTTATTAGGTCGGTTGAGATGATCACAAGGGTGACATAGAACAGAACCATCGATTAAAACTGTAGAGAGTTTGTCCTCTCCGTAACCTCCCATCACCACCAACTCCTCCCTGCCGGAGAGTTCTACCAGTGGGTTGGCCCCGACAGTCGCAGCCGCCGGAGATTCAAGAAATGCAAGAAAGATCATTGATGCAAACACCAATGCCATCTTTCTGATCATATCGAAGGGAAAAGTTAAGCTTGTGTATATTTTTACCTACCGGCCTTTCTCTATGCGTTTTAGTTTGCTTTGTAAAGACAAAAGCTTCTGCCGGTTCTTATATTTTAGATTTTTGTTTATTTCTCGAAATGTATTTTGTAGTTGATGATAATGGTAGAAAATGAAACGCTACCATATTTGCTTTTTATATTGATCGAGGTGGTATATCAGATATGTAGCGCATGTCTCACATGTCCTTTTCATGGATAATATAGTTGAAACAATATAAGGGTTTCTTTGGAGTGGACCATTCTCTCACATATTGTGTGTACATATATATTAGGTGGTAGAGGCAGTAGAGCCATTGGATTCAATCCTATCTTTTTTTTTAATCCAGTGGCAAACCAAAACCAAAAAGTTTTGCGGTGTGGGCCGGGGAACACCTCACCTATTTATTAATGTGTTGGATTAGTATGATGAAGTTATTAATTGTATAGGTACATTATGAGTCTAATAAGCGTTCTAAGAGCGTGAAATGTGACAAGGCGTCAAAGTAAAGTCTTAGTCTTTATAGCCTAAGCGAGAATAGACAGAGTCTAGGCAGGAAAAAGTGTTTTAGATTAATTTTTATTGATGATTATTATTTATAATGATATATGAAAAAATTAATAAATGTCCAAAAACTATTTTTCAAGATTCAGCATAATATTTACTTTATTCTGACATACTATTGTATATACGTAGTACTACGTAATTTTTAGACGTATAAAAGCTGCAAATGCAAAATGACACGGAGTACTACCCTACATTGTGGCTATTTACTAATAATTATTAGATTCCATATACTATCTATAACATGTTTATAGAAGTGAATTTTTAATAAACTTTATCAACTTTTTCTTTGCAAAAAACAATTGATCTAAAAAAATCAGTTTTTCCATGCCTAAATTTCACCTTTCATATTTAGGTTTCACCTTTCACACCTAATTAACTTACACCTTTAATTTAGTGGTCAGCTCTCGTTGATCACCTTTTCCACGTATTTCTAGTATGGGCCATTGTCCTAATTAAGTAAATTTAATTTCTTGAATTTAATGAAAATCATAGGGTTAACACGCAGGATATCATCTATGTGAGAAGACGGCCTTCTTCATTAAAAAGTACTAAGTATATATCTGTTTTTTTAATTAATGGTGAGATGTGTGACTTGAAATAGTTTGCGTGTACTTGTTATGTACATGCAGATGATATTTTGTTGGGGCAGGCTTGACAAGTTACTTTACTCATCTAAATATAGACTTATAGTCAATACCTAATAAGCCAAATGAGAGGGTTGAGACTTTCATACATACTTCGTATTATGTATGGCGTGTTAATGTGTACTATATTTATTTAAGCTTTATAGTCTAGTTTTACAATAAGTTAGGATAACAACCTTATAGTTCACCTTCCATAACGGTCACCACTTTGTTCCCTGTTTTTCCTTATAATTCTAGATGTGCAGTGCTAATCACTTAGGATATCAGTCACATCTCTACCTAATTAAATTACAAAAACTGCCCCTAAAAAGTCAAAATATCAATTATCTAACCTGAAGAAAACACTTATCTAATTATGTACTCCGTATTTATTTTCACAAATATGTGATTACTCTCATAAGGTGATTATTGAATGCAACACA